AATGCAAGGTTGCTAAATAGATCAATTGTTCACCTCTTTTTCTGATTTGGTTTCGCAAAACCTTGGAATGTCATACTACTCCTCAAGACGGCTGTTAGTTTTGACATAAATAAAGCCGGCCCTTCGGTGAGCTAAAATCCCTGTATAACAAAGGAATAAACCAGCATCTTCGGAGGATTATGGTTCATGATATGGTACATATTATTGATGGTTTTCAACCATTCCCAAGAGAATTAAATAACCAAAAGACACGGTGGCCATAATCAAAGGATATAATAAAAGAAATCATTGACAATTCTTTTGTTAAGTTCCTCCAACATGGCCGCCGAGAAAACCATCAATTCAGTCAATACTAATAATCTCCAAACCATCGTTGTGCTAGAGGTCAAGATAGAATGTTAAAACGGTTGGACAACCGGATGAAGTTTCGATGCATGCTTTGCTTTTTCAATCAGAGATAAGCTGTTCAAATAAAGAAGAAAGGTATTCTTTAATCCAGTAGCTCAATGATCTTTACTAGTCATTAGTTCTCATCAAATTTACATTTATTCTATTCGCTAACTTTGCAGTAGCCACGTGCGTTTATTGAGCGTCTATTTTTGATATAATTATACAGCTTCTCATTAATCCCATATAGGGAACTATCCAATTATTTTCTTAATTGGACAGGTCTTGTTGATATGGGATTAATTAGGCAGCTGTATAATTAATAGGTAATGGGATTTCATGCTCTCCGCAAAAAATAATTAGACTCGAAAAATTCCTCTACTGCCAAATTGGACTCGGCCTACGGCCTCATCCAATTTTGTCAGTCCTCAGAATTTTCCTCTTCCAATTATTTCTTAATTGGACAGCATGGAGTCCTATTACATATACTAATGTCACCAAAATTCTAATCTGTAGTCTTTCGCCTCCTTCTCCGCCATTCAACGCAGGCTAAAACTCTCCTGGATCCGCCATTGACCACGAAATCTTTTCGTTCTGTAAGACGGTTTTTAAAAGTAGATCCGTTGTGATATACGATCAATACATAATCCAAGGAGGTTCCAATGTTATAGAGTAAGAAGGACACGTTCCTTGAAGTGACAGTGGGAAGAAGGAAACTGTCGAGCTTTTCAGTGTTACTGACCAAAGTAGTGTGATATTCAGCCCTGGGTATTGTTTATATTCATAACATGTAATTAAGGTATGGGGAATCGAACGCGCGATCGATTTGATTCCGAGATCAAACCTGTCTTCATCGAGGGTGGGTGGGTGGGTCGCTACGCCCTTCTGACTAGTCAGTGAATTGGAAGAGACACGTGTTCCTCTATTACCTTATTATCACCTAGATCATGAAATACCAATTCAAATGGACTTTGAATATTGGTTATCATAGCTGAGCTGAATATATTCATATTTATATAGCATATAATCTTATATCAAGTTTATCAGGTAGAAAGGATGATTCACCAGAAGAAGCTGCCATACTTTCTATGCTAACCTTAGAATAGTTACAATAGTGTAGTGCAGCCCAACCCTTCGTAGTTAACAATTAGTTCACAATACGTAGAGAACTCACACCGATTTTATATACACATGCTCTTTCATTACAAAACACGAAGGTAACAGCCTCTACCTAAATATTCGTGGTGTGACAATGTTTTCCCAATATTCAGCGTGACAAACCTCCAGAGGATTAATTTTCTTTTACTCTTCGAAAAATTCATGAGTGTCCCAAAGGATACGAAAGGAATAACGATGATATCCAGACGAGTTTCAAAACAATAGCTGTTCATTCCCCTAGTTGATAATATTAGTTTTCATGTGGTTCTCCTCAACGAGTATTTTTTTAATCCGGTTGGCAGGCTGTTTAACACAGTTATTAAAGTTTGTTTTGTGATGATTAAAATCTACATAACCGACGATTCACTTCTGCTTAATTGTCATACAGTGATAAAGACTTGAGGAAAATTTAATACTTAAAAAGTTTTTAAAAGATTGCAATAACAAGTTTTGATAATCGTTACAAATATCCCGGCAGATGGATTCAGTATGATATGTTACTGACTAAGACCTGAAGATATAGAAATATAGATAAGTTATATTGCTTGGGAACGAGGTTATTCCGGGCAAAAGCCCTTGGAATTAAATTCGGAAAAATTAATTTCCGACATGATTAAGACCTGGTCAACTAGTGTACTATAGCTCTGGATGTAGTGTGAAAAGCTATTTAATTTAAATCGTCCGTCAGCATGACGAAAAAGAATTTCAAAATGTTTTTTTATCTTGTCTCCGACATTTTTCTCGTCGTGGCTGCACAAGATGTAATGGCAACTGACGATCTCTCGGGGTCATTTACCTTTGCTGCAGTTGTAAATACCTCCATTGGTCAGCTTGATTCTGAAGATCAAGTCCTAGCAAGACACAAAGCGAGAAGTGCTGTAGGTTGTGCTCAAAAATGTCTGACCAACAAACAGTGTCAGGTGATTGGTTTTAACGCCAAGTCAGGAGTTTGTTGGTTGATGAAGAGTGTTGGCAGAAATGGCGTTTTGAAATCGCAAGACAATGTCATTCTGATGAAGGTATTTTTGTTGTTTAATTTGCAAATTCGACCACAATCAGGTATTGCTCGAGTTTCTCTATGACGATCCGCGTACTTTTCGTCTTCTTTTCGCTTCTAAGAGAATTAATTACAGTACAGTCAATTCTTTGTCGGTATTTTTCACCGGAGATTTTGTTTCTGTCCTAATGGACATTTGATCTTCACTCTTTACTGACTGATGTTTTCAGGTTGGCTTTGAGAAAACGACAGAGGAAAAAGGTAACTTACAGACTTACGAAACAAAAATGATGTTCGGCTAGTCTAAAAATCACTAAGTATTTAAGATGTGGAAAAATATAGTTTGTTACAATCTTAATGTTTCAGACGTTGAAGAGTTTTCGTCGTGCAAAGAAGTGTGGGATAAAGGAAGGTTAGTTATACATCGTAGCGGCGCTTTCGGAGCGAGGGGGAGGGGACAGGGGAGGAGGAAGGTGAGCCGGGGGAGCCGAACATTATTCAGATGAACCTATCGATTGTCTTGGTTTAAATCAGATCAAAAGGGAATGGATTCTACAATATGAAGACCAACCAAACCTCAAGCACCTTGACGTATTGTCACATGGACAAGTTACCCAACTGCGGTGGTGGGGGATGGACGCTGACCATGAAGATCGATGGATCTCTGGTAAGACATTAACTGGATAGGTAGTCATGACAACAACAGCGTGACACGCGTTTATTTATACTTCAGAACACGTTTAACTATAAGTCCCCCTATTGGACAAACAGGCAAGCATTGAAGACCGAGAATGGGCTGGGACTAGAAGACAACGAGTCTAAACTACCAACGTACTGGTCAACACCGCTGACCAAGATCTGTCTCGGGATGAAGATGCAGACAAGCAGTGAAATCAAGTGGTTGAAATTAGAGTTAAAACAGCGCGCTGCCTCACTTTATGACGTCATAACCACAGGGTACCCAAAAGAGCCATACACTCTCCTTAGTTTTAGCAAATGGAAAGATACTTTCATACCATCCCCTGGATTCTACATTAGAAATCCCAAGAAGGTGTAAGCGTTACAAGGCGTGATGGTAGTGGTAGGGTATTGCTTGGGGTTAGGTTGGGAGTTATCTATAATGATCAATACGATAACCCAACATATCTTGGTTTTGGAACCTGGGGCAGCTGTCATCAGAGGCACAAGGTGGACGTCTCCTGTGGTTACGGCAGGCAAAGTGCTGAATTTCCTTTTTATAAGGAGTCTCCAGCTATTTGTTATATTTTAGTTCAGTAGACAAGAACCCGGCTTGGTTAATGATTGCATGCAGATATTGATCTGTCGAAATGTAAAGTCCATGGTCAATCAAGCCTCGTTATGAAGTACCATAGGAATCCTATCACGTGATCGATTTATACTCTTAATAAAATCTGATGAATGATGCTGATCACGTGTTGTCATCAGGTTCTCACAGGGAAACGACCCGCTCCTCGTCAGTAATATGTTAACCATCATTTACTTGGAAAAGTGTCGCTTAGAGGAATCGGTTCAAGACTCTTCTTACAGAGACGGGGGAGGGGGGAAAGAGAATTGTATGTGTGTATGATATGTGATGTCACGCCATGTCACGTGGTCAGATGTTTCACGCCACAAATCTCATCAATGCTAACGAGTTTCGATACCATAATATGCTTCGTTCCGGAGTCATGGTCAAGGGTCCCGGAGGGGGGGGGGGGGGGGG